TCAAGGCTCTAGGTTCACTCTAGTACAAAAAGAATTGACAGTAGGTGAACACTAAGGTGAATGCACATCTACACAAAGAGATCTGCAAGGTTACAAGCTAGCTGTTGGCAAGCTGAAACTGCTGGGCAAGAACTAATAGCCTTCAGAATCATCCTTTTATAATGATGAAATATAAACAAAAGCTATAGTGTGTTCAAAACATATTCAATCCATTCTAGTAAACTGACTTGTGGGGCCTCTAGAGATGATTGGCTGGCTGTTGGTAATTCATACCTGTAATTTCAACATTCAGAGTTGGAAATGTGCATCTTGCCTCTGACATTTACCATCATTGCCACCAGGAGGCGTCACAAAGTGACACCTAGGCCTGAGGTTTCTTCTGACTTGTCTTTGATCATGTCACAGATTTCTGCATTTGGTCATGATCGAATTGAAACTATTTCAGTTACTCAGAAGATCTAGAAAAACACTAGCAAGTTCTTAGATGTCGTATTTCAGTGTGTATGACACTACTGTATGTCAATTATTAGAATTGGGTCAAATTCTTAGAAGTAGGTTTAAAACCTTACACAAATAAAAACAAATAACAAGGGAAGGTAGTAAAAAGGAAGTCACCGATAGGGAACTATGATGAAGGAACTGTGGCTTCAGTTCTGTGGTGAATGACTGTCACATTCAAGGCTTGTTTAAGGCTTATTCTGAAAAAAAATTGATGTTTGTTCCATATCAAATATAAATACTTGTCTGCTCTAGTAGTCTATAACCCTTTTACATGTTAAAAAATACATGTAAATTATTTATATAATTACAGAGGATACAAAATATATCAAGAAGGCAGCAGATACTATAATTACATTATCAAGAAATATATATCATCATTAACATTTTGCCATATCCTTTTAGCATTGTTTCTAGTCACCTATGCACATGTGGATATGTTATGTGTTTGATGACACACATCAACCTGTCTATGTAATTTCACAGAAGTCTTCACCTTATGACATAAGCAGTCTCCCATTCACAACACACTCATGGTACAAGAATCACCTGGCCACCCTGGTACAAGAGTCTTCCTGGCCACTTGTACCTCATACTTGTAGATGCTTCACATTTAATTTAAATCCTGATATTGGGGAAAATTATAAAGGCCACTCCACGTAGTTAAAAGGAAGATTTATTTAGTGGATGACTCACAAATGAAGGAATGGATAGGTCGCGGGGGTCTGGGGAAGGCGTATCGCAATCCAGCGGTGTTCTCTGGAGCTCTGCACAATCAATCTCCACCATCCAGGGTCCAGGCGCAGAGAGCGCACCCAGAGCGAGCGCTTGCCCATCCAGCTCTCAGGTTTCCAGCACCTCCCCTCGCCCCGCCTCGTAGGCGTGACAGTTGCCAGAGTCTCAATGGGGGTTGGAGCTTCCAGATCCAAGCTGGAATGGCTACCCACTACATCTCCCCCTTTTTGTCTAAATAAGAAGGTTCTAAACTAATACAAGACTATATACAAAGGAATGGTTATCAAATATTGTCCAGAAATAATGAGGGATAATGACCTAGATAAGATGTAACTACAACCAATGCAAACAATATCAAGCAAGAAACACATTCTAAAATCCAGAGAAGTATAGAGCATAGGTAAACGGCATGTTATAAAGATCATTCAAAGGTGTCCTATCCTAAAGAACCTGAATCTAATACTTAATATGTTCTATCTAAGATATTATATATACTAAGTTGTAACTATAACTGCTAGTCTTCAATCCCATCAAAGACCTGAGAAGGAACATTTCTTTGAAATGCTTATATTCATACTCTCCTCCCCCAACACCTGACTCAGTATGTAAAAAACATATACACAACACTTACCCAAATCCTCCACTATGAAGCCACACAGTGATGGTTTTCTCATTCCATATTTACAAACATGTGTATCCTTCTGGGCAGGGTCTTACTGTCTGTCCCAAGTGATCTAATCCGGCTTCTTCTTGCTCTGGTGTCAAACATTTCATTCTAGATTCAAACTATTGTCTTAAAAGGACACCAAAGATTTATTGCTGTGAAACTTTCTTTTTATTCATAATTTCTGTATTAGCAATTGGCGCTCCTTGCTTCAGCAAAACTACTTAACCTCAGCCTCCCATGCCCACCCAAAAAGAATGACAATAAATCTCAATTATGAGGATTATGGTCACAGGATGGGAAAAATATGCATCTCCCATTCTACACCAAAAATATTCTATGAAACATTTGATTAGTGTGATCAATTGATGTATAGATCTACTTATTGTGAAATTTGAATTGACCCTAAAATTTCTGTCTGTCTAAATCCATCATATCTACACGAATATCAGTTTATGTGCTCACACTGGAATTAATGCTGTTTTTACATTCTTTATGTAGAAAAAGACTCTGGCATCTCAGTATGAAGTTATTTTTATTACAAACTTTCCAGTGCATTTTAATCATTATGCCTATATATGCAAATATTTATAGTTCGTCTTTCATACAAAATCTATATTTTTATTTGTTTTTAATCTGTAAGCATTAGTGTCAATGGGGAACAATACATAAACTACATTTTCAAAAACCTACATCTACAGTTTAATAATGTCCAAATTATATATCACTTCTTGGATTGTTGGATGTCTTTTTATGTAGTAAAAATATTTAATGTGTAAGCTATGTTCCAAGTTTTACTTAGGTTCACTCATGAAATTTTTAATGAAATTTGCCATATTTTAATACCCTTTTGGGTAACTTTTAAATAGAAAAAACATAGAAAATACAAATCATTTCCATGTAGAAAACATAAGGCAAATGGAATCTTTATAAATTTCTTTCTTTTGGGTGAGGAGTAGATACCTGTGGGTGCTGACCCTTAAATTAATGAAAAAGTGTGAGCTAAATTATAGTCCATGGTGCTCGACCCTGCCATGCTACATGACATTTCTACATCCATGATGACTTTTAGAGAGCAGCAACTTTTTCCTTATCATCATTTTGTGAAAAGGCCTTACCTTGCCAATAGTGCAGACAGCATGCATATCTGCATGGAATACCAATGTACCCTGTTGTGCTTGGTGGGTGGGAATATACATTGTTACAGCATTATATAAAATACTATAAAGGTTATTTACAAAATGAACTGTAGAACTAACCTATGATCCACCAATACTACTTCTGGTCACGTATAAAAAAAATGCGATTCAGGTTAGAGATAATGTCTAGTCCCCAATAGTCATTATAGCACTATCATGACATGGATAAATGTATTTTTAAAATGTGTTCTTGGTTACCAAAATAACCCATGGATATCATTATAGCAATTCTTGACTATTTACAATGTGTCCCATATACTACAGATTTAAAAATACCCTTACATGTTAAAATACATGTAAATACGGCATGATAAAAGATGTCAAGTGCTAATATAGTTCTTAGATTTATTTGAAGACTGGAACGTATAGAACAAGTGTGAAACCATCAATGGTTGATCCATGGAGTCTCAAAGATATTACTAGATCAGCATAGGCTAGAGATAATATTGACTTAGACCAAGATGACATTATGGCTTTGGATATGGAGGAATCTAAACACATTCGTGGCACTTTAAGTAAAAAGAGATAAATGGAATTAAGTGAGTAGAGCAAAAGAATACTTTCAGGAGGACAAGTCACACAGAGTAAGGGCTGCAGCTCTGGGCTTTAAAGCACAACAACAATTTCATTGTCCAGCTTTGCCACTTTTAGGCACCAACACTGGATAATTCATTTGACATCTATGTGCCTTATGTCTTCATTAGTAATTTGGTATAATATTTCCCAGCTCACTATGATAGAAAACTTTCATGGATATAATGTGGTTCGGGGAATCCTGAACTGTACAGTGTGGAAAAGTGATGTTGAGCATAAACAAGTTGGATGTGACTAGCTTCTGCCCTGTGACTTCCCGACCATGCTGGACCGTAACCTAGAATTGTGAGCTGAGTCAACCCTTTCACTTCCTCCATTTTTGTCAGGATATTTTCTCACAAAACCAGAAATGAAACTACAGCATATGTTTTAGGCAAAGTGGAGAGACCAAGCAAGACAGAAGAATTACATGAAAGCACTAAATGACTACTTCAGAATATCATGGTCAAAAGTAGAGGGGAAAAAAAAAAGAATATCCAGTTTACATGATCCAGAGAGTGTGAGAGAGAAACAGTGTGTGTGTGTGTGTGTGTGTGAGAGAGAGAGAGAGAGAGAGAGAGAGAGAGAGAGAGAGAGAGAGAGAGAATGTGTGTGTGGACATGCAGGATGTTTTGGAAGATATAGTGAATAACAAGGATTCTGATTCCATCTCTCAATACTAAAGATCAGGAAGATGAAAACATTTGTTTGCTAGAGAGATGTCTTATTTACATCAACCATCAAAGGACCAAGGAAGGAAAATGCTCCCAAAGATGTTGAGGAACTTGCTGATGATGTGCCATCAATAACAGCAGGAAGTGATAGAAATCTTTGGAAGTTGTGATGAGAGGGAAGAGATGAAGGAAGAATTGGCTCAGAGACAGGAAAGAAGTATTAAAGAATGACTGAAATTATGTTTGGGAAGTATTTCAATGTCTTGCTTAAATGTTTATTGTATTGTTACATTTCTATGGACAAGAAGGTATTATGTTATTAGTTAGCCCAGGCTGCTATAACAAAATTCCACAATGCCCCATTTGTCACACTTATGTCTAGGATTCAAGTCTGGCAGGGTAATGGTGAAGGCGGCTTCCTGGGCACAAACATGGCCACCCCCCTGCATTTCCACTTGGTGGAGAGAAATCTTAATGTCTCCTTTTAAAGGGGCTTTGATCTCACTTTATGACATTAACTCTAATTAGCTACCAAAGATTCCATCTTCAAACACCATCATGTATATAAAACAGGAGAGTTGGAACACATTCATTATATAAGAAATGTAGCTATGACTGCAAATAGACTGTTCTCATAATGTATTTTTTTATTAACAGAACTCAGTTACAGGAACAAAATATCGGTCAAAGAAGGACCACATGATGTGTAAACTCATGTGCTTATCTATTGCCTACTCTTCAACCATTGGTGGGCTGACAACACTCACTGGTACCTCCACCAATCTGATCTTCTCTGAACATTTCAATACGTAAGTAATATGAGATTGGTGATTTAACAAGTGGACAGCAAATAAACCATAGAAATTGTTCTTACCTGACTCTTCAAATCCAGAAACTGAACTGTTACGCAGGATTTACATATATTTGCTTCTTATCAGGATTTCTCTAGATCTAGAGACCTTCCTTTGGATTGGGAATGAACTATGCAGGATCTAGTAAATTAACGTGTACTTGAAGATTCATTCTTCTGTTAATCTAAGATTAGATCATGTATTTGCAAAATGACCTTATTCTGCCAATATCACTGACAACATGCTTGTCTTCATGGGATGGAGCAGCATTCTGATCTGAGCCTCTTACCAGAGAGAGAAAAATTTTCATTGCGAAATAATTCAATAATGTGATAATGAGCAGACATGAAAATACACTGTTGCATCAGACAATTTATTCAGAGTTTGGTACTGAGCATTTGAACTTAAATGGTGAACTGTGAACAGAGGCTGAGGTTGGCAACTCCAAAAAAATCTGAAGAATTTGGTAGCTGCCAGAGATGAAAGCACTAGAATATCTTACTGGTGTATAGATGATTAAAGTTTATTGTTGTGATACCAGAACATTACAAAAATTGGGGAATCTGCAATTTCAGCCAAAGCAGTGTTTTAGTTAAAACTTCTACAACTTTACTTACTACTTAATAAAATTTAACTAAAGAATATTTCATGATGTAATTCTTCCTACATAAAATAGTCACATTTTGAAAAAGTACTATGAGAATTAAATGTGTAAATAATGCTAACATATTTTGTATTATGTAAAACTATTGAAGCAACCATTAGAAATACATGTTTTTCTTTGAGTTCAGAAACAAGGTCTAGTTCGAGTATTAAAGGTGCATTTTATACTTGCCATAGTATTAAGAAGATGTATGGCATTTAAGAAGCCTAAGAAGAGGAGATAGATTTTTCTCATAAAAAGTAGGGTTCAGAATTAGGGAATTAATTACACTTTAAAAATCAGGACCTCAGATTCTTTGGCCCTTCTTAAATTATTTGTAAAACATTTTTCATGCAAATTTTCTCCAACAAATCCATCACTAAGAATGCCATTTTCCATTCTCCAAAGAGAAGCATCTTGGGTACAAAGAACAATGATGTGGAAGTACAGGCTCAATATTAAAGACCTTCATGTGTATTTAATGTTTCTGGGAATACACATCCATTATACATTTATTTTTACTTATATATTATATATATATATATATATATTATTTTTATTATTTTAAAAACACTGTATTTTGATCATTTTTCCCCTTTCTCAACTCTTTTCAGATCCTTTCCTTCTCCCTATTCTCTCTCTCTCTCTCTCTCTCTCTCTCTCTCTCTCTCTTTCTCTCACCAAAATAAGACAAAAATGAAAATCAAAACAAATAAGCACACAAAAAGATAAATAAAAAGCCTTTAAAAATATGTAGTACATTCTTCATTGGTTAACTATACCTGGGTATGGGGCCTGCCCTGAAATACCCAATGCAATCCACTGGAGAAAATTGATTTTCCCTTTCCCCACAGGTATCAATTGCAAATAGCTTGTTGGTTAGGCATATAGCTTTGTGTCCACTTGCCCTTTTCAGTGATGCCCCATAGGTTTAAAAAATCACTTAGGAAGAAATGTTTGAAAGGTAATTGATTTATAAATGGAGGACTTCTGAAATTCAGTGTTGAAGGGCTATATTACATGAACAGCTAAACTCAGAACTAGAATTGCACCTGAATCATTTCTACAAGCTAGAATTATATCCACGGTTAAGAAAAGAGATTCTGCATCTCAGCCGGCTCTTCAGAATCCTCTTCCTAATGTTGAGACCCAATTCAAACAGTTTTACTATTGTTAGTGTCAGAGAACTGCTGTTATGTATAGAATAGTAAGACCATTCTAATGAAACCACTTTATACATTGAATCCATGCAGAGTTTGCCCCCAGCCTTCATATTCCTGTGTAGTGTATCAACCAGTTTTAAAAATTATTTTTATTTCATGTTTCTTTTGATTATTTACATGTACTAATCTATTTTTTAATACCAGGTCAAGAGCATTTTGACCATTTAAACAAATGTTTCAATAACTTTTCATGAATCTAATGTTTCTAATTGTGAAATTTGACTAAAATTTCCTTTAAATTTAGAAACTATTTAATGTATACCTGGAGATGCAGTGTTTTTCTTCAAAATGTTGCCTTTACATTAATAGTATATAGAAATCAGGATTAAAATAAAATCAGTTACACCATTTGATAAAAAAATGCTGTTGTAAAAGAGAAAAACATGTCATTTAAAAAATTTAATTTATATCATTAAATAAAAGTCACTTAGTAAGCTTTTCTTTGAATGCTTCTTTGCAAAATAAAGTAGTATCGTAAAACTATGATGGGGCAATGTTCACTCAATTTCATTGGAAAAATGTCAGACGCTTAAAGCTCTCCAATATTTATTATTTTATCATGTGTTTAGAGCTATAGCGATATTCTGCTTTATTTAGGAATTCACTAAGACAATACAATTTTTTCCTTTTTATAAGGCTTGCCATTGTTTTGAGAAATAATGAATTTGCAATGACTTTTTTCAATGCTGAAGGCTACAAAGTAACTTAAATATCAGCAATTTCTGTCATTGATATTTAAAGTAAAAGGCCATCTTCCAAGTGAACTATTGAAAGGAAAATATTGTATAACCTATTTTGAACCTGTCTATTTAATCTTCTAATTATTATCACCTATCTACTCATAAATCTGTATGTCATTTTTATAGATAGGTTGAGAGATAATGATAGAACGTCATCATAATAGAAATACTTCAAAAACTGCCTTCATGAAAACTCACCTCCCCAGAAACTGAAGATGTGTTCTAAGGGAGGACTTTGGTTACATACTACAGAAAATTTGGTAGTGAAAATTTGACATGATTCAGAAAAACTTTAAAGGCAAACAGTATGTAAAGTGATTGAATTAGTGTGAATAACTCATAAACTAATGGAGCAATGTATGCAACATCTTTTTTGAGGACTGGAATAGGATCCATTTTTTTTTAACACAGCTTAGCATATACTATGCTCCCAGATTGGCTTTCTAAGAGTCTAGGGAAAGGAAACCAATTAGGAGTGCATTACTAATGTGCTGACAAATGATGAAAGGCAATTTCTGAGATGTTACGATTTAAATCTAAGACGCTGTACAGCCAGAAGGTCGTTATAATTAATCATGAGAGTTCCAGGTTAAAGCAGCTCTGGCGACATCGGACTAGAGAGTGGCGCATGAATTTCTATAACGGACATGGCAGATCCACTGGAAATATTAACAGACTGGATGTGGACAGACTGATGTGTGTAGCTGAAGCTTTCCTGTGTCCCGCCCAGTCTGCAGCCACTCAGACCCAAGTAAACACACAGAGGCTTATATTAATTAAAACTGCTCAGCCATTAGTCATGCTTACTACTGACTAGCTTTTATATTCAAACTCAGCCCATTTCTGTTAATCTATATGTTGCCATGTGTTCCATGGCTTTATCTGTGTGCCATGACATGCTGCTCCCTGGATGGTGGGCTGGCGTCTCCTGACTCAGCCTTCCTCTCCCAGAATTTTCCTTGCCAAGTTATCCCACCTATACTTCCTGCCTGGTTACTGGCCAATCAGCATTTTATTTATCAACCAATCAGAGCTACACATTTTCATAGCATACAAAACATCCACAGCACCTCCCCTTTTCTGTCTAAATGAAAGGAAGGTTTTAACTTTAACAGTAAAATTGCACATAACAAAACAGTTATCAAGCAAGAATTATAGTTATAATATCTAGTCTATTTATATTTGAAAGACAATAAAAGATAGTCTCTGTTAGTAATAGAAGTTAGGATAGAAAGTGAATCAGGTATATTTTTGACTTACCAAAATAAGATAGATAATGGAATATTTTCTCTGAGTTTGTCAAATGCAAATGGACTAGACAATGTTGATGTATTTATTGCTTATAAATATTGTATATAGTTTTTCTTATATTAGTTATAACTTTTTTATTTTTTTTATTTTTATTAGTAAAAGGGGGAAAATGTGGTGATATTTTATTTGTGCTAAAATGTGGTGATATTTTATTTGTATGTTAAAAATTAAAGTTTGCCTGAGATCAGAGGTCATAGCCAGCCATAAACAAAAGTCAGGCAGTGGTAGCACATGCCCTTAATCCCATCACATGGCAGGCAGAGTCTCTGTGTGTTCAAGGACACAGTCAAGCATGGTGACACGAGCCTTTAATCCCAGTACAAAACAGAGACCTGGAGGTCTGTACAGACAGGCAGTGACAAGGAGGTGAGGTGGCTGGATTAAGATCCAATGAGAAGGCAGAACAGCAAGGTGATAAAAGTGCAGGTTAGACAGGAAGAGGCTCTCTTGGGAAGCTACGGCAACGTGGTGAGCTAAGGTTAGTTGGTGGCTATCACTCTGATTTCTATGGCTTTCACCCATGTATTTGGCTCTGTGTTTCTTACTTAATAAGACTGTTTAGAAATTTGTCTATAGACATGGCCTACTGAGAACCTATCCACAAGGAGATCTGTAGCAGGATTTGTAAGTGTATTCTCTGAGGTAACTATAAGTCAAATAGTATATCTCTAAGAGCAGAAATTATATTCTTGAACATGGAAATAGCCACAAAGACAGAAAAACATTAAAAGAATACAAATAGGAATATACTTCTGGGAAGTACTGTCAATAGAGAAAGGGAAGGAAGTTAGTTCAAGTAGGAGGAGAATCAGAAGCACACGTGTTCTGAGAGCCAAAAGTGAAGTCCACCTTCAAGTGAGGAGGTGGAACAGGGGCTCCTGAAGTGACAGAAGAGGCAAGAAGATGGCTGAGCAAGGCACAGTTCCCCTTGATGTGCTGGAAGAGGGTGGGTTCAATTAAGCAGTCAATGGTGCACACAATTCAGACTGATAAAAAGGAGGAAGTCCAGGGGTGGGGGGAGGCAGAAATTTGAAATTATTC